TATCTGCATCCGAAGTAGCAGTCCAAAAAGCATCATACATTATTATGTACGTACGTCACTTTCTTATTCCGTTTGTGACATCCCTAAATATAATACTAATACTCATGATGAACTTAGAATTCTAAGTCGATCTAACGATGTCTATCTGCCCGTCTGTCTGGTGAAATCACGATACAGACGTACGTATTTGACGTACAGCTTCAAAATTTGATAGAATAATTAGCATTGTGTCTATGATGGTTGGTTTTAAAAATGAGATGTATCACGTTTTGGTATTGATTTTTGATACATTTTTCAACGGATTTGTTTGAAAATTGCTTTTTGGAGTTCATAATGGGTTCTAGCTCCGGTGGCAGAACATTGAGTATATAGGTCCCCGTTTTCCTACAGCGCACATATAACGATACCCTCCGATATTTGGATATTTTGAAGAAGTTTTAGTAGATTACAATCCTTTAAATATAAAATTGTCTGTAGAGGTTTGCGTTTTGCTATGGACACATATAACAGCCTAATCCACTTTTTTTTTGAAAAATTTAAGCATTATCCAGTCGGTCTTATTGGTATTTGTAGTTTTAAGTGTAAGACGTTTGAATTCAGATACTTTTATATAAAAATGCTTTCTTTACGTAATGGTGGAGGGTATTAAAATGTCATACGAGTATTTCCCTTGGCGTAACGAGCACGACAACGTTTTAGGAAACAATAACGAAGAAACTTTCTTTAATTGAGGGATATATTGCGGGCAAGTTTTAGACGCCGAGTGTCTAATTGGTTGCATCACAACTGGGAAAGAATATAAATGTATTCGAAATGGAAATTCACGATGGGGTTGGCCTGGGATATGAGGTAAAGTGCACTTAGTAAGAATAAGTTTTTATGAATATATTGTTGGAAGGTCTGGTGTAGGTAAAAGTCGCTGAATTAAAATCATTATTACCAGGCATCATATTTATATATATATATATATATATATATATATATATATATATATATATATATATATATATATATATATATATATATATATATATATATATATATATATATATATATATATATATATATATATATACGGTTAGTACGGTTTTTCAATAAAACGCGTTGATATTAGCCCTATAAAGCCTTGTATCCTCCGCAAAAACATCTGAGTGCATATATTTGATCGGCATAGTTATTTTTGGTAGCAACCTATAACTCACCTTAAATTTTATTTTTTAAATTAAAAATTAATTTATATTTTTATTTTCGATTGTATTATTGCTTTATATCATTTAACTATGTACATAAATAAATATTTTTGCGTATATTTTCTACAGTGTTGAAGTACATTTTTGATCTTGAGTTATTGATTTATAATCGTGATTCCCTGTATCTGAGAAGTAATTCAGCGCCACATTACACCCTGGGTTTTGCACCATTAACATTGGATGAGACATGGATACATCACATGAATGGGTGGGAGTGGATTGTGATGTTCGACTGCATTTACTTTGAACCCCAATTTTATATGGTGGACTAAAAACATTTGATGAACCTACAAGGGAATATAAAGGAGCAACCGGCACTTCTTTGATGCCAGTTTCGATCGGGTTGTCCTTAATTAAGTTTGGTGATGACATTTGCAATTGTAAAGGAGGGTTCGATTTTGATTCCGAAATATTAGTCAGTTTCATAAAAATTTTATCTGCGTGGTCGGTTGTTTTCTCTATGTATGCTTCATCATGTTTATGTGCAGTTTTACTTTCGTCGGGTGTTATAAGACTCTCAATTGTAAAAGATCTTTTTGGCCGGCAATTGATATACTGGAATGTGTTTGTGTCGAAATCGTATGGTGAAGACAAACTTGGATACATTTTTACCGAAACTGGCGATGGCACTGCCAATAGATGTCGATGGTGATTAATTGTACTGCCTACTGATGCTTGTGGTTTCAAAGAATGTGAAGAAAGTTGTTGTGTTCCCACGGTCATAATTGGAACTCTTGACGTATAAAAATGTGTCTCAGTAATTAGAGAAGATATTGCATTATCTAATGATGGAGTAATTTCGTTAATACACTTTAAACTGGAATTTCTATAAAATAATCTGTTCAAATTAGCCAGTGCTACCAAGTCGTCGTTTAACACATCTTTGTCATTTTTGTGTAGCTTAAATCTCTTTCTTCGTCGGAGCAAACTTCCGTTTTCGAACATATCAAATGCTTGTGGATGTAGAGCCCAGTAGGCTCCCTTTCCAGGTCTATGTGGTCTACGAGGAACTTTAATGAAACAATCATTAAAACTTAGATTATGCCGTAGAGAGTTTTCCATCTTTGAGTGTTTCTACGATAGTACGGAAATCGGTCAGTTATAAATTTGTAAATTTCACTTAATGGTAACATTTTTTCTGGTGAGCTCCATATTGCCATAGCTGTCAATGAGATATAGGAATATGGAGGTTTCTGGTCGCCATATAATTCCATCGAGGGTCTTGGCATATTTCCCGATTTAGAAAAATTTCGTGCAAAATGTATATACGAACATACTAAATAATAAAAAAATGCATATGATAAAAGTTCAATTTTATTTTTATATCTTTTGGAGTATATTTTAATTTTTATACAAAACTATTCCGCCGGCTTATCACACGAATTTTTGATTTTATTTCGGGGATATATTAATACTGATTTGTTTCTAAGCTTTAATGCAAAATAATCAAACTGTTTTCAAGAGAAAATGTACACAACATTGTTAACTCAAAACAATATGCAAGCACCAATCAATAGCCATACAAATTTTCATTATGGCTAATTAAGGGAAGCACGGGAAGCCATTAGATTTATGAAGCATTTAGCCACAATTTCCAAATTTACACACTCAGTTTAATGCTGCAAGAATTGTGAATATAATAAATAACTAATCTATATTAAAGGCCTCAGGTAATATGCGATCCTTTTAACTACTTTTAGTAACCTTTGACCCTGCTTGGTACTGGTAGAGTTTCCCTATCTGGTACTAAAGTTTTTTCCAAAATATTCCCTTGTTGTCCATGCTATGCGTTATTATTGATCCACCATTTGGAAGAAAACATAGAACAAAACAGACGTGTAATTAATATATCATGTGGTAAAGTTCTATCTCATACATTGATTATTTATTTAAGAAAACATTAAAAATATACAATTATACATATTCCACACAAGTAATCGACACTAAAGTGTCAGTGAATTATGAGCTGAATCTGCAGAGCTACCGCGAAAGAAATTAGGATGAAGACCGACTGAGAAATTCTCAGCAATTGGCAACAAGGAGGTACAATCTTGAATATATAAAGAGCTGTATTCTTATCTATCGTATGGATTCAACAAACCGAGCAAATCTTAACATCAGGGAAAATTTCGCAATGAGTTCGACAATGAGAGATGAATGGCACCTGTAACAGAAGTTTGTATTCGCTATGTGGGTCTTTGATTTCTATGCCACATTAAGACTTTACACAAAGCAACAAGGCGTGCTCTTTTCTCAAGCTCTTTGGGAAGAGGAAAAGCAAAATATGTTTTTGACGAACCCTTTTCAAGAAATTCACACCAAGTAGAGGAATATTTGATGAACATAACGTAATTAAACTCTAATGGAGAATACAATTTCAACAGTGTGGATCTCCCTAGCACACGTAATAATTTTTAGTATATCAGAAAAAATACATTCAAAAAAGCTACGGATTTTGTAGATAGTGTGCAATAAGAGGTCAAACATTCTGCAGTTCTAATATACCAATGTCTTCTACAGCACTTCTTTTGCTGTTTTAAATAAAATCGATGAACAAGAACTAGCCAGGCGCAAGGAAAATTATGACAAAATGCATAATCTGCTAAACGAAAACTAACCAATGAAGAATCTGAACGCCTGAGCAGCTTTGAACAGTTTTCTATCAGATTCACGATTCAATATGGAGATAAATTCATATCTGCATCCGATGTAGCAGTCCAAAAAGCATCATACATTATTATGTACGTACGTCACTTTCTTATTCCGTTTGTGACATCCCTAAATATAATACTAATACTCATGATGAACTTAGAATTCTAAGTCGATCTAACGATGTCTATCTGCCCGTCTGTCTGGTGAAATCACGATACAGACGTACGTATTTGACGTACAGCTTCAAAATTTGGTAGAACAATTAGCATTGTGTCTATGATGGTTGGTTTTAAAAATGAGATGTATCACGTTTTGATATTGATTTTTGATACATTTTTCAACGGATTTGTTTGAAAATTGCTTTTTGGAGTTCATAATGGGTTCTAGCTCCGGTGGCAGAACATTGAGTATATAGGTCCCCGTTTTCCTACAGCGCACATATAACGATACCCTCCGATATTTGGATATTTTGAAGAAGTTTTAGTAGATTACAATCCTTGAAATATAAAATTGTCTGTAGAGGTTTGCGTTTTGCTATGGACACATATAACAGCCTAATCCACTTTTTTTTTTAAAAATTTAAGCATTATCCAGTCGGTCTTATTGGTATTTGTAGTTTTAAGTGTAAGACGTTTGAATTCAGATACTTTTATATAAAAATGCTTTCTTTACGTAACGGTGGAGGGTATTAAAATGTCATACGAGTGTCTAATTGGTTGCATCACAACTGGGAAAGAATATAAATGTATTCGAAATGGAAATTCACGATGGGGTTGGCCTGGTTAGTTAGTTAGTTTTTATGAATATATTGTTGGAAGGTCTGGTGTAGGTAAAAGTCGCTGAATTAAAATCATTATTACCAGGCATCATATATATATATATATATATATATATATATATATATATATATATATATATATATATATATATATATATATACGGTTAGTACGGTTTTTCAATAAAACGCGTTGATATTAGCCCTATAAAGCCTTGTATCCTCCGCAAAAACATCTGAGTGCATATATTTCATCGGCATAGTTATTTTTGGTAGCAACCTATATACTCACCTTAAATTTTATTTTTTAAATTAAAAATTAATTTATATTTTTATTTTCGATTGTATTATTGCTTTATATCATTTAACTATGTACATAAATAAATATTTTTGCGTATATTTTCTACAGTGTTGAAGTACATTTTTGATCTTGAGTTATTGATTTATAATCGTGATTCCTTGTATCTGAGAAGTAATTCAGCGCCACATTACACCCTGGGTTTTGCACCATTAACATTGGATGAGACATGGATACATCACATGAATGGGTGGGAGTGGATTGTGATGTTCGACTGCATTTACTTTGAACCCCAATTTTATATGGTGGACTAAAAACATTTGATGAACCTGCAAGGGAATATAAAGGAGCAACCGGCACTTCTTTGATGCCAGTTTCGATCGGGTTGTCCTTAATTAAGTTTGGTGATGACATTTGCAATTGTAAAGGAGGGTTCGATTTTGATTCCGAAATATTAGTCATTTTCATAAAAATTTTATCTGCGTGGTCGGTTGTTTTCTCTATGTATGCTTCATCATGTTTATGTGCAGTTTTACTTTCGTCGGGTGTTATAAGACTCTCAATTGTAAAAGATCTTTTTGGCCGGCAATTGATATACTGGAATGTGTTTGTGTCGAAATCGTATGGTGAAGACAAACTGGGATACATTTTTACAGAAACAGGCGATGGCACTGCCAATAGATGTCGATGGTGATTAATTGTACTGCCTACTGATGCTTGTGGTTTCAATGAATGTGAAGAAAGTTGTTGTGTTCCCACGGTCATAATTGGAACTCTTGACGTATAAAAATGTGTCTCAGTAATTAGAGAAGACATTGCATTATCTAATGATGGAGTAATTTCGTTAATACACTTTAAACTGGAATTTCTATAAAATAATCTGTTCAAATTAGCCAGTGCTACCAAGTCGTCGTTTAACACATCTTTGTCATTTTTGTGTAGCTTAAATCTCTTTCTTCGTCGGAGCAAACTTCCGTTTTCGAACATATCAAATGCTTGTGGATGTAGAGCCCAGTAGGCTCCCTTTCCAGGTCTATCTGGTCTACGAGGAACTTTAATGAAACAATCATTAAAACTTAGATTATGCCGTAGAGAGTTTTGCCATCTTTGAGTGTTTCTACGATAGTACGGAAATCGGTCAGTTATAAATTTGTAAATTTCACTTAATGGTAACATTTTTTCTGGTGAGCTCCATATTGCCATAGCTGTCAATGAAATATAGGAATATGGAGGTTTCTGGTCGCCATATGATTCCCTCGAGGGTCTTGGCATATTTCCCGATTTAGAAAAATTTCGTGCAAAATGTATATACGAACATACTAAATAATAAAAAATGCATATGATAAAAGTTCAATTTTTATTTTTATATCTTTTGGAGTATATTTTAATTTTTATACAAAACTATTCCGCCGGCTTATCACACGAATTTTTGATTTTATTTCAGGGATACATTAATACTGATTTGTTTCTTAGCTTTAATGCAAAATAATCAAGTTGTTTTCAAGAGAAAATATACACAACATTGTTAACTCAAAACAATATGCAAGCACCAATCAATAGACATACAAACAAGTTTTCATTATGGCTAATTAAGGGAAGCATGGGAAGCCATTAGATGGTGCAAACTAAAACACAGTGCGGTTGACCAATCACAGCATCGTATGTTAACCACCACCCATATAATTTCATTGTATGTGTGTAACAAAATATCTTTCAAAGGAAACAACCAATCAGAAATGTACAATCTGTACTCATATAAACACAGTAGGCGTTATGTCAATTTTCCGTGTTACCATGTAGATACAAAATAAAATATTTTAGGGTAAACAAAATTATAATTATGACAAGGTAAATTGTTGTGTTGTTTAAAGAGGTTCAATTTTATTTCGAAAAGATAAGTGTTTGTTTACATTTAGATTTGATATTTCATGTAACATTTTGATTACTTTCTATCAACTAATTTCCATATGTTTGGTGTTTATTTCTTCCGAATATATTTTGCAAAAACTTAGCCACCAAACCTCAAAAAATAAACGAAAATATAAGTATCGAAACAATAATATTTTAATTTATGTGTTTGATTTCTCTTTCGAGACGAGCTTAATGATCTGAAATTTGCAGTAAAAAGGAAAGCCAGATTCGCCGTTGGTTAAGCGGCTCATCAGGCATATTTGGTGTGGATGATGGCTTACAAGGGCCGTTCTCTGGAAAGTAGTATATATTTCGAACTTATTGCAAATTAGCATATGCGAATTATACACTAGAAACTCTCCAGGTTCGACTCAAGTTCTATTGGCAGATCTTTTTCACAGCAAAGTTTTTGTTGTGTGCAGCCAACTAGAAGTTGCCGTCTCTACATTCAGAGCCATTAACCCGTCTTCCTAAAGTAGCACTAAAACAAGTGTATGCATTGGAAGCAATGTAGTTGTTGTGGACAAAAAATCCATCACTACAAAAAAAAAAAAAAAAAAAAAAAATTGCTGAGAAAAAGATCTGCCAATAGAACTTGAGTCGAACCTGGAGAGTTTCTAGTGTATAATTCGCATATGCTAATTTGCAATAAGTTCGAAATATATACTACTTTCCAGAGAACGGCCCTTGTAAGCCATCATCCACACTAAATATGCCTGATGAGCCGCTTAACCAACGGCGAAACGCGTCGCATAGTGGTGAGTGTGTGATATCGGTACCGCCCACATTGTGGCGTTCTCAATACTTCTGAATTCAACAACCGCCTTCACTGACACTTGCAGATTAAAATGGAAATGAATCTAGATCGATTTTCCTTATTCAACTCCACAACTTATCACAGTGAACTAATGAAATTTTAAATAACGATTCAACATACAAACTTGGGTTTTCTCTTGAAATATGTCCTACTTATTGCAGTTATGTATAATTTATAAGGACAATCTTCGTAATTTCATATTCTAGATTTTGTATAGATTATGTACCGTATTGTAATATATATTTGGCGGCAGGGTTTCAGATATGGCGATTTCCCGCTAAACGTGGCGATTTTCAATGCCTTTAATTTTTGATTTGGTGACGTGGCGACTTGTTTGAGGATTATAGAATATTTGCGTTTGTAAATTGTAGGAAATCACACATTTTTATACTCTCCACCATAGTATGGAGGGTATATTAAGTGTGTCTTTTTAGACCCCACAGAGTATAGTCGATTTAGCGATGTCCGTCCGTCTGCCCGTCTGTGGAAATCACTCTAGCTTCCGAACGAATTGAAGTAGATTGATAAAATTTTACTGAAATGTATGTTATGTCTGCAGGACTTTTGGTATTGAAAATGGACCTACATTCACGGTATAGCGCCCATATAGCGGTACCTCCCGATATTCGGTATTTTAATGATTTTAGCGACATAATTTACCGAAATTGTTTTAAATTTGGTATTTGAAGTTCGTAATGGATACTACACCCTAAACCAGAAATTTTTCTGTGCAGATTTACGTCTTCGTAGAGCCCCCATATAACGGTACCTCCCGATATTCGGTATTTTGATGATTTTAGCGAATTCATTCACCGGAATTGTTTCAAAATTTGGTATTTGAAGTTCGTAACGGATAGTACAGCCTATGACAGGAAATTGTCTGTGCAAGTCCACGTCTTCGTAGAGTCCCAACATAACGGCAGCCAACGATATTCGATATTTTAATGATTTTAGAGAGATTTTTCACCGCAACTATTCAAATGCTGATGATTTTAGCGACATTTTTCAACGGAATGGTTTCAAATTTTGTATTTGACGTTCGTAATGGATACTACAGTCTAAGACAGAAAATTGTCTGTGCAGGTACACGTCTTCGTATATCCCCCATATAACGGTACCCCCCGATATTCGGTATTTTGATGATTTTAGCGAATTCATTCATCGGAATTTTTTCAAAATTTGGTATTTGAAGTTCGTAATGTATAGTACAGCCTATGACAGGAAATAGTCTGTGCAAGTCCACGTCTTCGTAGAGTCCCAACATAACGGCAGCCAACGATATTCGATATTTTGATGATTTTAGCGACATTTTTCACCGGAATTGTTTCAAATATGGTATTTGAGGTTCGTAATGGATAGTACATCCTAGGACAGGAAATTGTCTGTGCAAGTCCACGTCTTCGTAGAGCCCCAACATAACGGAACCCAACGATATTCGATATTTTGATGATTTTAGCGACATTTTTCACCGGAATTTTTTCAAGTTTGGTATTTGAGGTTCGTAATGGATAGTACAGCCTAAGACAGAAAATTGTCTATGCAGTTCCACGTCTTCGTATAGCCCCATATAACAATACCTCCCGATATTCCGTATTTTCAAGATTTTAGCGAATTTATTCACCGGAATTGTTTTAAATTTTGTATTTTAAGTTCGTAATGGATACTACAGCCTAAGACAGAAAATTGTCCGTGCAGGTCCACGTCTTCGTATAGCCCCATATAACAGTACCTCCCGATATTCGGTATTTTGATGATTTTATCATACTATGGAGGGTATATTAACTTTGTCATTCCGTTTGTAACTCCTCGAAATACTCATGTCAGACCCAACAAAGTATATATATTCTTGATCAGCGTAAAATTCTAAGTCGATTTAGCCATGTCCGTCTGTCTGTCTGTCCGTCTGTCTGTTGTAATCACGCTATCTTTCGAACACCTGTTTATTTTTCCAGTAGGCAGGTTAAGTTCGTAAATGGGCCATGTAGGTCCACGTTTTCATATAGCCCCCATATAACGGTACCTCCCGATATTCGGTATTTTGATTATTTTAGCGACATTATTCACCGGAATTGTTTCAACTTTAGTATTTGAAGTTCGAAATGGATACTACAGCCTATGACAGAAAATTATCTGGGCAGGTCTACGTCTTCGTATAGTCCTCATATAACGGTATCTCCCTATATTCGGTATTTTGATGATTTCAGCCACATTTTTAAACGGAATTGTCTTAAATTCTATACAAGGAGTTATTTGTGAGTACTTTATCCCTAGACATAGATTTGTCTATATAGGTCACAATATCGTTTATCCCCCCATATATCGGCACCTTCCGAGATTTTAACAGAATTTTTAATGGATTTTATTTTTTTTTTTTTTGAAAATGTCCTAATTTGTTCCAAATGGTGGAGGGTATTCAAAGTTTGGCCCGGCCGAACTTACTGCTATTTTACTTGTTAAGATTCGCATTTGAATATTACGACAAATGTCACCGTTGCAAGTCCATGTCGTCGTATAGACCCTAATATGATAGCTTCATTCGGCATTTTTAAGATTTTAACAGAATTTTTAACGGATTTATTTCTTTTTTTTTTTGAAATTGGCCAAATCCGTTCCAAATGATGAAGGGTATTCGGCACGGCAGAACTTACAGCTTTTTTACTTGTTTAAATTTCGGTAGTAAAGAATTGGTTCAATTTGCAATAAGTATGCACAGAAGCCATTGACAAATCTAAAAATTAAAATGTTGATGTAAATTTTTACAAAAATAAGTTAGGTTGTGCGAGAAGCCATAAAAGAATTATGAACTCAAGCATTACATTAGGTCTCGTCTTAAATAGGATTCAAATAGATTTAAATTTAATAAGAAACAAGTTAAAAAGTGGTAAGTTCGGACAGGCCTAACTCTACAATTTGGAACGAATTTGGAAATTTTAAAAAAATAAAATTTTTAAAAAATTCTGTTAAAATTTAAAATATACTAAATATAGCCGTTATATTGGAGTCTATACGACGTGGACCTACATAGGCATTGTTTGTCATAAGTTATTACCATATTCAAATTCGAAACTTGAAATAAACGGTGAATAATGTAGCTAAATCATCAAAATATTGCATATAAGGAGGTGCCGTTAAATTGGAGCTGTGCGAAGACCTGGACCAGCATAGACAATTTTCTGTCACAGGCTGTAGCATCCATTACGAACTTCAAATACCACCGATATATGGGCCCAATACGAAGACCTGAACCCGCACAGACAATTTTCTGTCACATACTGTAGTTCCCATAACGAACTTCAAATACCAATTTTGAAACAATTCCGGTGAATAATGTCGCTAAAATCATCAAAATAATGAATATAGGGAGGTACCGTTATATGGGGGCTATACGAAGACGTGGACTTGCACAGACAATTTTCTGTCTTAGGGTGTAGTATCCATTTTGAACTTAAAGTACCAAATTTGAAACAATTCCCGTGAATAATGTCGTTAAAATCATTAAAATACCGAATATCGAGAGGTACCGTTATATGGGGGCTATACGAAGACATGGACTTGCACTGAGAATTTTCTATCTTAGACTGTAGTATTCATTACGAACTTTAAATACCAATTTTGAAACAATTCCGGTGAATAATGTCGCTAAAATCATCAAAATACCGAATATAGGGAGGTACCGTTATATTGGGGCTATACGAAGACGTGGACCTGCACAGACAATTTTCTGTTTTAAGGGTGTAGTATCCATTTTGAACTTCAAATACCAAATTTTAAATTACTTCCGCGAAAAAGGTCGCTAAAATCATCAAAATACCGAAT